ATATATATATATATATATATATGTGAATTTTACAAAATCTGCTAAATCTGCCGCTCCTGGTTGGGGGTAATACCTGCGCGAAATAGGGGCCCGTAATTTTCTTCACTCGGATCCGGTTTTTCTCTCTACGGCCCTGTAAATGCACATTGCATTTTTTATGTATGTGAGCTTTGAATAGCATTTAATGAACGGTCCATTAAATGTGATCTCCAGGATATTTGATAAATTGCGATAAAGATATCTGGACAATATGATCTCCATAGATATTATATGAATAGAACGTTCGCTATTTTCATCAAGAGATATATCACTGACAAAAAAATCATTCCTTTCTTATTGCATATGACCTAACATTTTGAGCCATTATACTTTCATCTTTATGTATACAACATCCATTAAATCCACTTTAGATGATCTATAATTGCTGTCGGAATTTGGGATCCTATTTATAATTCGATATGTCGCGAAAAGCATTAAAAAGAATCAAAATTATATATAAAAGACAAACATAATGCAACATATATAAAATGTACAATTATACATTACAATAAAAATTCTGTTTCTTGAAATTTTTTTAATTGTGGATTAAAGTAAACTTTATTAATTAGATAATTGGAAATATATAAATTGTTGTCAAGAAGATACGACGTCTCATAAAGATAATAGCTATTATTTTAATTATATAGTAATTACATGTTACATACATTTTTATAAAAACATAATTTTGTAAAATGATATTAAATAAATTTATTAAATAAATATATATTAATATACACATATATTATATACAATATATAATAAATTTATAAATATACATATGTAATATTATTGTAAAATTATGTCTTATTCATAACATGTATTTACTACATTCTGTTTTTGTACTTCATTGACAAGGCTGAGCTTATGTTCTAGTCATCGCAAGTTCTCGTGTTCCGCAGAGTCTCAGCCACCTGTCTAATAATGCGCCTCCCGTATCCGGTGCCGCCTAACCGTTTCCGGTGTACCCGGGGTTGGATGTTACCCCCTGCGGTGTCCTCACACGCGACCCCCGCGCAAAGGGGGCACGCGACCCCAAAAACATTCCACGCTCCAATGCACCGCCTTCCCCAGTTTTTCCTGGGGTACAAACCCTCCCGCGGCGAGTGCGTGTCTTCGGTATCTGTACAATCCATTTGTTATTACGACTCGTCAGTGTGTGAAGGAAAATTAGTGAGACCTCCAGCACTCGTGATCGTCGCTATTTTCCACGAATCACATTCTGGAAAATCGTTCTAAAAATATATGCACTCTAAAGATATAATATTGCTGAAAATATTGTGTCATTAATAATGATAAGACCCGGAGAAATTCTTCCATTTCTATTTATTCAATATTTATAACCACTTAGTCTCAGCTACATTGAACAAAAATTTACTAAATCTTGACATATTTCTTTGAATGGTATTAACTAAACATTTACTTCCAGTAAATAAATATTTACTCAAAATAAAAATAATAGTTAAATCAACAAATTAATGGTTCTTGTATCAAATAAATTTTTTTATTTAATATTTTTTTCAGTGTATTATGATTAGGAGAAAATTTTTCATTTTCACAAATTTCGAAGCTCTGCAGCATCTTAGAATTTATTCTAAATAAATGAGGCAACAAATATATAAAAATGTATAATGTTATTCTGTTTCCAATAAAAAGTTATAAATATTGTAAAGTTTACATAATATAATACATTTGATTTATTCTATTCATAAAATAATATATACGATATAAAATATAATTTTTCTGGTCGATAAGATTAATGATCGGGCGTAAAAGTATCGTTAAAATGCATGTCTTGCCGTGTATCCCAAATGCAATTCATGAACACAAATCGATTTCACACTCCCGCTGGGTATAAATTAATAGACACTTATGGTGCGTTTCGATGGGTTATTCCCTGTACCAGGTGTTAGTCGTGGCCTCCTCTTGCCAGGATGCACCGTGAAAAATCGTTTTATTCATGGAGCGGCTGATCTAGAGCCTCTTACGATTGCTTTAAAAATCTGTGTTTTAAATGTATCTCAGAAATTATTGAAAATGTCTTCACAAAATCATGTAAAAGTGTATTACAAATTGTAATATAAATATATTAATTTCAAATACAACAATAAAAATTACGTTAAAAATTTCAGCAACTTCGTCTTTTATCACTTAAATGGATTGCATGAAATTTTTTATTCCATTAGCCACTAAAATACAATTTAGCACACAAAGGCTTTGGAGCATATATCTTGAAAGCGTTTTACTTCCTTCCTTTTAAGATTTTTTTTTCCTGATGAGAAAGATAGATTTTAAATAATTTTAAAAAATATAAATGAGTTAATTGTTAACTCGGTTTATACAAAATAAAGTTTTATATAGCATTGTAGATTTTTTATATTGCAAACGGTGACGACAAATCTTTTCGACGTAGGGATAATATTTATTCAATTGTCGATGCGAAGCGAGATTGCGCGAATCGTCTCGTCATCGCTGGAATCGCGATTAAGCGCATACACGTGGCCACGCGCGAGCTTTGCCATTTAAATCCCCTTTAGTTATCTCTCGATCTCGAGGATCAAAAATTCTACCGGACAATGGAGCCGTCCCGACGCAGTATTTTCATTTCGGATTATACCGGAACAAGCTGCGGCTACATTCGATCGAAGTATACGTGATTACTAAAGGAAAAAGAGAGAAACAATTCTTTGTTTTTTTTTAAGCTATTAACTGTAATTCGTATCAGAATTCAAAATTTTATTCCATTTATAATTTTATATATGGTGTAATGCAAGAAATAATTGAATCATAAAATACATAGATATTAAAATACATGTAAATATGTAGCATAAAAATTATAATTAAGATTTTATCCAATAATCTGACATGAATTATAAAATGAGTTCTAAAGCAACAAATTGAATACAATTTAATGATAATGTTTAATTATAAATAATATTTTATAATTCTAATACGCAAATTTTTTATGATAATTACTAAAATATTGATGCCAAAATTTTTTTAGCTAGATTTTTAATTTCATATTTTTGCATTTATATTTAAATTAATTATTTTTAAAATTATTTTAAATGAAATTTAAATTATATCTTTCTTTTTAGAAGAGTTATTTGTATATACGTCATTAATGTAAAGCACCAGCTTAAATATATTAATTATTTTAACACGTGTGATATCTCACGCGAAAAACGTGATGCACAAGATGCAATTATTAACGAATGGGGATATTAATTACAATCGTGGGAACTGGTAACGCCGTTTTTCCGATTCTTTCCGAAGAAGCGTCACAGATGGACCTATAACTCATTCGGTTTCGACGTACCCTCACTTCGTTTTCGGGACTGCTAATTACCGGTGTGTTATAGATGAGGTCTGAAATCATCCGGAAATGTAAGGATATTTCTAACAGGGCTTAGTTTACTAGCTGCCGGCATCATCAAAAAGAGAACCTCTTCTGTGAACTTATTGTTCTTCTGTGTTATTAAATATCAAAATACTGTTTTAAATCTTAAATATATGAAACAGAAAAGTTATAATTTAATTACGATTATTCGTTATACGATATAAAAAGTAATTATTATAGTATAATATTATAATAAATATTGTAATAAGTAAATCAAGTATTCTATAATAGTAATAATTCTAAATAATATAAATAAGTAATTATTACTGTTAAGTCGTTAAGAAAATAATTTTCATATCACAATTATTGCAGGAAAAAATACAAATCGATATTTTTGTCGTGTCAAAGGTATTAATCATTCTTTTTGAAAGATATTATATCAATTTATATTTCATTTATAATAATTTTTATGAAGCGCTTCTCGAATATAAACAATTGCTGGAATTTTATTTCGTTTGTAAAATAACTAATTCCCCTTTTTGCACACCTTCTGTTACAAGTTACGATCGATATGAATTCTATATGATTCTCGAGATGATTTTCACGTCACGATAAAAATACATTCAACTCAAAA